AGGTCATGTCTTGCATTGACTTCTCCCGGCCTGGCCCCCACGCCTTGATCTTGGTGACCCAGGTGGGACGCTTCACCGCCGAAGACGTGGCTGCCGCAAAGTGCGTCTGGGATATCTTTGGGGCAGAATCCACCAGGTGCACGATTGTCCTCTTCACTTGCTTGGAGGATTTGGGTGGGGACCCCCTGCATGAGTACGTCCAAAACTCCGACAACAAAAATCTACGGGATGTGATCCAGCAATGCCGGAACCGCTTCTATGGGTTCAACAACAAGGCCACGGGAGCCGAGCGGGATAATCAGGTCTCGGAGCTGATGGAGATTGTGCAGAGAACCATTTCAGAGAACGGAGGTGGGTACTACACCAACCAGCTGTATTTGGAGCCCAACCTGACGGATGGCATTGTCAAAGCTGTCCTGGCGAAGAACAAAGAAGCCCGAAAAATGGCAGAGAATGCTTTGAAGTGGAAAGAAAAAATTTTAATGGCTGCAATCATCACTACCGCCTTTGTAATCTTAATATATATTGTAGTCGAACTATCTTAAGGCTTCTTTCGTTCAACATCTTTGGGACAAATCTTCTGATCTGAATGTGGGAAGGGGGCTAGTCTTAAGTTCATGTAGATCAGGGGACCCCAACCATTTGGGCCCCAGGGACTGCTTCTGTAGAGAGAGGTTTTTCCGCACACCGAAGGAGCCGTGTTTTCACCTGCCATCTGCATCCTGCAGATGTGGCTTTGCTTCTTTCTGAGAACCGGTTTCTGGCATGCTGTTCCACGACCCCCGGGACCCCTGATGTAAATGGCCAGATTGAGCCTGAGGAAGAGGTCGAGGCTTTCATGAGTCGATTCCCATCCTGCCGACGAGATCTGTCCATCTGATTTTGAATTCTGCTGACTTTTCTCTCCCGCTAATTAAGTGCTGACTGTTAGTTGACCAGATTGTTGTGTGTTCACCCAAATAATAAATCAAACATGCTGTAACTTCCCAGATGGTCTCGATCCTCTGCGCCATGCTGTAACTTAAGATATAGTAACATAGTGACTAAATTAGTGACCAGCGAAATACTGTGGACATAATAGACGTCAGGAAGGCATTTGACAAAGTAGATCACAACCTACTTCTTTGTAAGCTCGAAAAAAGTGGGATAGACAGCTTCACCACCAGATGGATTTGCAACTGGCTGACAAACCATTCTCAACAAGTAGTCCTTAATGGGTCCAAGTCTACATGGAGAGAGGAGAGTAGTGGGATACTACAAGATTCTGTCTTAGGCCTAGTACTCTTCAATATCTTCACTAAGCTGGCAGGAATAGCTAACACCTAGAAGATAGGCTCAAGATCCAGATGGATCTTGACAGATTTGAACACTGGGCCCTAACTAACAAAATGAAGTTCAATGTAGAGAAAAGTAAAGTCCTAACTTAGGCAAGAAAAACCAAAACTTCACATATAAACTGTATGAAACCAGGCTTAAGAGCAGTGACTGTGAGAGGGATCTTGGAGTCTTAGTGGACAACCAGCTAAATAGGAGCCAGCAGTGTACAGCGGCAGCCAAAAAAGCCAACACAATCCTAAATTGCATTAATGGGGGATACAATCAAGATCACGTGAGGTACTACAACCACTCTGTGAAGCCCTAGTAAGACCACACCTAGAGTACTGCAGTTACAGGAATTGGGCAGGGCTAATCTAGAGGAGAGAAGTACCAGGGAAAACCGGATAGCCTTGTTCCAATATTGGAGGGGTTGCCCCAGAAAGGAGGGGGTCAAGCCTGAAGGCCAGACAAGGAATGATGGAATCACTGGAGGCTTTCAAGAAGAGACCGGACTAGAAGACCTTCAAGGTCCCTTCCAACTCTGTGATTCAGTGTCTCCTGTTTGAACAGGGGGTTGGACTAGGACTACATGATCTCTAAGTTCCCTTTTAACTCTGTTCTATGTTCTTCACAGTGTAACAGATTTGGAAGGGTTAGGGTTCTAGTCCACCCCCCTGCCCGAGCAGGAGACCCAATAACCATTTCTCACGGTTGG